TTATTAATTAGTAATATAGTATAATTACGGTATCTTAGTGTGCATAAGAACATAATTTCTTTCTCAAGTTTAGGTCAAAAAGGTAAAAGTACATCTTTAATTCAACAATAAAATTTCAGTTTAGTCTTTTAATTTTATAAAATATCTTTTTCAATTTATAATTTTGATATCATTAATTTTAAATGATGATCTTTTGTGTCAATATAATCAACCATCTTTATTTAAAAAAACTTAAAATTATATATTTTATAAAAATATGTTATTAATATTGTAAAGTTTAAAATTGGCACAATGCAACTAGCACGATTAAAATTAAAAGATTGAAATTAAAGAAATTAAATTAAAATTTTATATAAAGTTGTACTTTTGCTAAATCAATATTATCATAATTCAATAACATGATTGAATCAGTCATTTCATTTGAAAAAATTATTAGTCAATAGATGCATAAACAGATTAGATTTTTAAGTTGTGAAAATTGTTTTTTTTTGGGGGGGGGGTGTTGGTGTTGAACCTCTGAAATTTTCATTGCTAGAAGGATAAAATGGCAATGTATAAAACCTTCAATATACAAACAATATTTTCGAAAATCACTGCATTTAATAAATAGCTAAGACCAAACACTGACACTCTGGATATAGAAGGCCAGGCTCTGATCATGTGAGCACATAAATAACTCACGATATTTTAGGTAGGAATTAAGACCATTTTTTTTTCGGAGAAAATATTAAATTATAATTCATTTAATTTGCTCATGTTTAGTTCATTGGCACTCATGTATTTATGTCGGCTTATTTCTCAAATTCAAGCATCAAAATAATCTTATATATATATATATATATATATATTGTTGGTATGAACCCGATATTTAACACTATTAATCCAAATTTAATTAAGTCAGACTGTGTTTTAATTGGGAGGAAGTTTTTCAGATAAAATTTTCCTACATGTTTCAACTTCAAATCTAATTTGAGGCGGGGTATTAATAGTTCATAATTTTTGTTTCCTTCTTAATGTAATCAAATAAAGTTTTTTTTAAATTGAAAATATTTCAAGTGAGTTGTATTCTAAGAACTCACTAGGGTCAGTGTATGTTTTTACGCTCTAAAAACATTTACAAAGGTATTTATAGATGACTCACCACAAGATCCTCGTATTGATAGCGAGATTTAATTTGAACCCATGAATTGTAAGGAAATCCTTATCAATTGAACTAACTTTTGTTGGTCAAATAAAGTTTATTTTGTTTGGTTAAGAAATTGAGGTAACTACCATATATGGGTCTAATGCACAGTTTTGAGGAATAATTAATCATCCTTACTATGAAATAATATGACTTGTTAAAATTTAATCAGTATATTATTATATACAATGAAGATACAGATTATTTTTTCGAAAAATAAAAACTTCTAAAATATTAACATGCAATGATTTTTTTTATACACCTACTTAATTGAATCAAAATTTTGCATTCTCACTCAGATATTTAAATTCGCAATTTCATGCTTAAACAGTCGCTAAAAATTTTTTCTAATAGAACCAACGTTTGTTGATAATATAATGACAAAGTTTATTTATTACTATCTATATACACTGTATCGAGAGTGAAGAGGAAGTGAAGGGGAGAAGGAGGAAAGCGAGTGAGTGAGTGATAAAATGTCATTGTGGGACCCATTAATTTGAAGGGGTCATTTCACAATTAAAAGTTGATAGGTGGAGACGTAATTGAAATGGTAAATGATAGAGGTTGTTTTGTTGTTATGGGCAAGTTCCACAATGTTTCCTCTCTTTTCTATTTTTACGTTTGAGACACTCAATTTTTAGTCAAGAGTGAGCTTTCCGTGTCATCGCTCCTCTTTCACCATATAAAGCATTGTCTTGACTATCAATTTGACTATGCAACCCCCAACATAAAAAATAATACAATACTAATATTTCATTTTGTTTTCTTTTTTCATAGTGTAAATAACTTGTATCTTGAGTTTGCTCCCATGTCAAATTAAAAAAAAAAAACTTTAATGGGCTTCCGACTAATTTAAATTGAGCTGAATTAAAACTCTTGTAAATGAAAGCTTTATATCGCTAATACTATTATATTGTTAGAGTTCGATGGAATTCGAGACTTTTAATTAAACTGATATAATTTTGTTATCAATTAAACTAAGCATTTGGCGGTCTACATATACTTTTTTTTTTTTTTGATAGTAAAGCATTTGGTATCTAAAGCTGTTACCTTTGATTGATCTAATTTGGTATTCAGTATCTACTACCAAATATGGATACATTCTGAAAACTCAAGTTCAAGATCTTTGATTAAATTGATGCAATTCAATCTTAGTTAACCAAGTGCTTGTTGTTATATATATATATATATATATATATATATATCTTTTGATATATGAGGAAATGGTTTGAGCTTGTGACAGTTTTTTGTGTGATTTGAAAAACATAAACATCATGTTGTGTATCTTTTGTTAACATTCGGCATGCTGTATCGAGTAAAAAAAAAAAAAAAATCTATTTTTATATCCCATATCATTTCTCAACTTGCGATTAAGTCAGATGAATTTTTTTTAGCCAAAATTAAGTCAGAGGAATTTGATTAATTACCAAAAGGTCTTTTAATTGGTGTTATTTTTTTTAATACAATTGTGATAATAAAGTCACACTGATTTAAAACTTGCGAAAATGGTAATTTTTTTTGTATAAAAAAGTGACGAAAGAAGACTTAACTTGTAAAAATGAAAGGTAAGGTTGTGAAGGCATCAATAAGATTTGATGAACTTTTTAAAAAAAAAAAACTCATAAAACAGCTTATAACTATATATTAAGATTTGACTTATAAATTATTAAGCTTTGTCAAGAAAGTCCAAAGAGAAAAAGATGAGAAAATGAGGAACAGTTTTATAATATTACAGTTATGCAGTTTCTAATATTTTATTTGGTTTGAGGGGAATAAAGGAAAATGAAAATTTTGATAACACCTTTTTTTATTTTAAAAAAAATGATAGGAAAGGTGGAGAGGAAAATTTTATTAAAAACTTTTATATTTTTTAAAATCAATCACATCCTAACCTCTACAGGATTAATTAAATTCATGAAACTTAATTAGAATTATATTTCTTAAATTTGACTAAATTGTCACCTTTCCTTTACTTCTTTCTTCAAAATAAATAGTCTTTTGGGAATTATCAGTTTGTCTCTCCTCTTTCTCAATTTTTGAGTTATTATTATTTATAATTTGCATATATTATGTTTAAATTTCCTATATATTTTATATTTTTATTAAATTTTTGTGAGATGCATGTACAAAAATGTAAACTTGTACTATTTTCATTGTTGAGTGAAATGTCAATACAATTTGAAAATAAAAATAAAATCTTTAAAAAATTTGAAATTTTTATAACAAATTTTTAACCCCCCGCCCAAAAAAAAAAAAAAAAGCTGAGTCACTAGCGTTAAATGTCAGTCTGCTTACATGATCTCAACGGTCAATTTATCCGGCCGGAGTAAGTGCTGGCTCTACAATAAGATTTCAAATATTATTCAAACGAAATAATTATTCTCTTTATTTAAAAATATAAAATATTTTTTAAGAAGTTAAATTTTAAAAAATATAAAATATTTTTAATTTTTTAAAATATAATAATTATTTTTTTAAAAGTATTCTTATTGATACTGACTTTATATTTATTATAAGATATTTAATAAGGGTAAATATAAAAAGATACGGTTAGTTTGAAAGTAAGTAACTACTTTATTAGAAGATAAAATTTGATTAAAAATACCTTATATTTTTAAATAGAGAGTATGTGATATTCAATTTTATCTTTTATTCTGGTCTCTGATTGTCTATTAGATTTTTTTAAAACAAAATTCATAAATTTATCATGCATTTTTTCTCATATAAAATTATTTGAATTTTTCAACCCCTATTTACTTGTTGGTGAAAAAAAACCCCTATTTACTTTCAGTCCAATTTTAGTATATGAGCTATTTGTAAGTGATTTTTTTTTAATTTCTTTCTCAAAAAATATTTTTATGTTTGTTTTATATTCAAGAATACACTAAAAATATTCATACAATATTTATTAATACTTTATTCGCACTTCAATATCTTATCTAGCCTTAGCTGACTTATCAGACATCTCTTCATAAATTGTGTATATTTCTTCACTTTTCAAATTACAGAAAAGGGAAATTTATATAGAACTAAAAAATATAGTATACGTACATATAACTTATAACCATTTGTCTTAATTTATTTTGACAACTAATCTAGAGTCGAGTACAATTTATTATATTTTTATTATTAAAGTTTTCATTAAAATTAAATATTTCATTTTCTTTAAAAAATAATTATATTATACTAAATTAAATGACATTCTAGTATGTTATACAAATTTAAGAAATGAGTTGCACCAACATTTGGCCAAAAAAAAAAAAGGTTGCACCAACAAACTACTATTTCTTAACAATTATATATATTGATATTGATTATTAGAATAATTGTTACCCTTATTGAAAAACAGGCCACCTAATAAAAAAAAAAAATCAGGTGTGAACAATGAGTGGTTAACGGTTATGGATTTCAACTTTATATGAATATAAATATTTATATAATAATAAAAATTATAGAACTGTTTTCTTGTTTTTTGTGGGGGCTATGTCATGAAATATATTCCTTTTATTTTAAATTATATAACATTTTTTTAAAAAAATTAAATTAAAATATAATTAAATAGATTAAAATTTTATTAAATGTATATTTTTAATATTATCATATTTTTATAATTAATTTATATTTTTTAATATATTAAATAATATGTATTTTTAAAAATTTATATTTTTATTTTAAAAAATAAAATTATTAAATATATTTTATAAAATTTATTAACATGTAAAAATTTATTTAAAAATATTTTATAATTTAAGACTGTGAAAGTATATAGTAATATTAGCTTTCATTGGGCCATCACCATTTTATCCAGCAAAAGCAAGTCATCAAGTCAAGCATCCAAAAAGTCTTCGCTTTCCCGCACGCAGTCTAGTCGTCCCTGAGCTTGGAATTTTTTGCCTCTGCCTTCTTTGACCCGTTGGTTATCTTCTTCTGCTTCCCAATTGAATTCACACTCTTTCGCTTCAGACTTCAGAGGTAACTTCATCTTCTTCCTTTCGATTTTGCCTCTGATTCTTCAAACCTTCTCTGCGCGTCCTTTTCGTCAATTTTTTGCCTTTCCTTCTGCGCAGAGCGATGCTTCCACGTTATTTCGGCAGCTCCGCTAGTGTCTTTGTTTTTCCCGAGCTGGATTCTTCTATAGTTCAGGTGGGTATTGCAGTACTTGTGCAGAATTCTTGTAACTCTCTGTCTCTCTCTCTCGATTGCTTGGATTTTTGCTTTCTCTCTCAGTATCAAAGTCAATTTGACTTGGTTTCTCAGGGTTTTGATATATCTTTTGCATCTGTCAAGTATTAGAGGGTGTGAATTTGGTTTAAATAGTAATAATTCTTGTTTTTTCTTTTTTATTCTGCGACTAAGCAACTGGTCGATTCAGTTGGTGTTGAATTGCGTTTCTGTTTGTTGATTTCTTTCAAATGTGTCTCAGGATGTGTTCTTGAGGGCACTATAGTATGGATTTTATAGCCTTCGTCGGATCCCAATTGAAGTGAGGCATCTGGACTGTTTCTTCTTGGCTTGTGTTTGAGATCGTGGTTAAGGATGGTTCTGAGTAGCCGAACTTTCTGTACTCGTGTTGTTATTATTAATTTCTTGTTGCTGCTTAGTTGTCACATGGTCTATGGGACTGTTACGGACATCTTCTGCTTGAAAAAGATAAAAGATTCACTTCAAGACCCAAACGGATATTTGAAGTCTTCCTGGGATTTCAACAACAACACAGAAGGATTTATCTGTAGATTTACTGGGGTTGAATGTTGGCACCCTGATGAGAACAAGGTCTTAAATCTAAAGTTGTCAAACATGGGACTCAAGGGCCAGTTTCCTCGTGCCATTCAAAATTGCTCGAGTTTAACAGGATTGGATCTATCACTTAACAAACTTTCTGGAACAATTCCAGCAGATATCAATAAGATCCTTACATTTGTGACAACTCTTGATCTTTCTTCAAATGACTTTTCTGGGTCGATTCCTGTTGGGCTTGCAAATTGTTCTTATCTTAATTCCCTCAAACTTGATCAAAATCGACTCACCGGACAAATCCCTGGAGAATTCAGCACGCTTACAAGGCTCAAGGCATTTACTGTCACAAACAATCTTTTGACAGGTCCTATTCCATACCTTCCAAACATCTCAGGTGATAGCTATGTAAATAATGCTGGACTATGTGGTACCCCTTTGCCAACCTGCCAGGCCTCATCCTCCAAGAGTAACACTGCAGTTATAGCCGGAGCAGCTGTTGGCGGGGTGACAGTTGGAGCATTGGCAATAGGTATTGGCTTGTTCTTCTTTGTCAGACGAGTAGCTGTGATTAAGAAGGAAGAAGACCCTGAAGGAAACAAATGGGCTAGAAGTCTAAAGGGAACTAAAGGAATAAAGGTAAGTTTTATTCATGCATCACTCATAAAAAAAGTATCCACACACTGAGCAGCTATCTCTTTTCTTCACATCTCTGTTGGCATATTTTAGAAAATTATATGATTTAAGACATTTTTAATATTAAAAGTTTTATATAAATCATTTTCAATTTAAAATATTTTAATAGATACTATTTTAAATTGATAGTGTAATAAAACCATTCTTGGGCCTGCACTTGAACAACCTAGTTCTTTGGATGAAATGGTCTTTGACATCAATAGTTGAAGGCTCGTGGTTGGTTTTATTAAAATCTGTAACTTTCACATTTTTCTCTTAAAATCGTTGTTAGCATTTACTGTTAGAACTTAGAACCATGAGCTTCTGCTGCTCTGTACCAGATTCATGAATGTCATGTTTTTTTTTTTTAAAATAATACCAATCACTGGAAGATTGGAAAATATATGGTTATTGTTTGAAAAAACAAACAGCCTCAATTTGAGTTGCATACTCTTGAACTCTTGGGACAACAATGCTTACCTGTATTGAATTGGATCAGGTTTCAATGTTTGAGAAGTCGGTTTCAAAAATGAAATTGAGTGATCTCATGAAGGCTACTAACAACTTCAGTAAAGGCAACATTATCGGGACTGGAAGAACAGGAACCATGTACAAAGCTGTCCTTGATGATGGCACATCACTCATGGTAAAGAGATTGCAGGAATCTCAACACTCTGAGAAAGAATTTCTGTCTGAGATGTCTACCCTTGGGGCTGTCAGGCATCGTAACTTGGTTCCTCTTTTGGGTTTTTGCCTGGCCAAGAAGGAGAGGCTTTTGGTCTATAGATATATGTCAAATGGCTATCTTCATGATCAGCTACATCCTGCTGAAGGTCAGAGCACCCTGGAGTGGCCTACGAGGCTTAAAATTGCAATTGGAGCAGCAAAAGGATTAGCATGGCTTCATCATAGTTGCAATCCCCGTATCATCCATCGTAACATAAGCTCTAAGTGCATCTTACTGGATTCTGATTTTGAGCCCAAAATTTCTGATTTCGGGCTTGCTCGACTGATGAACCCAATTGATACACATTTGAGTACTTTTGTGAACGGGGAGTTTGGGGATTTAGGTTATGTTGCTCCTGAGTATGCAAGAACACTTGTGGCTACACCAAAAGGGGATGTTTATAGCTTCGGGGTTGTTCTTCTCGAGTTGGTGACTGGTGAAAGACCCACATATGTGGCTAAAGCTCCGGAAACATTCAAGGGAAGTTTGGTTGAATGGATTACCCAACTGTCAAGCAGCTCTGAACTGCAGACTGCCATTGATGAATCGTTAGGTGGGAAGGGATTTGATAACGAGGTTTTCCAGTTTCTTAAGGTTGCATGCAACTGTGTTTCATCAACTCCAAAAGAAAGGCCCACTTTGTTTGAAGTATACCAGTTTCTAAGATCCATTGGGAGTAACTACAATTTCACAACTGAGGATGAGATATTGGTACCTACGGATATTGATGATATGGGAAATCTTGAGGAACTTATTGTCGCTCGAGAAGGGAATAATTGAAAAGGTATGCGAGATATATAGGTCTAATTTAATCAATTTTCATGTGTAACTCTCTCTTTCTTTGCAGTCCAAGAATAAGCCCTAGTGTAATATTTTCTTGGTGATCTAGATTCAGTTGTGTGCTATCAATATTGAAACGACTATATAATATCATCTTATGAACGACCAGTATATAGAGGTGAGTTACTTTTGTTTAGTGCTTACAGTATTTTGATTTCCTTATCCTCTCCTTTGTAATGCTGATGTGTATAGAAGAAATCTCCTTTTAGCATTAAGGACTCTCATTAAAAAATTAGTGGGTTATGAATTATTGATTTGAAATGCTGGCTAGTTTGTTTGATTAGTAACTTTGCTCCGTATTGTGGTTTGGAAAGTTCTAGCAGACTAATTCCATTCGGCAAAATGACTTCAAGCTATTAGGGGCATGGCTATCCTATGTGGCTATTCGCCGTTAGATTTTGTATTAAGAACTTGACAAATGAATAAATATATATATATTTTTTTTTACTGATCAGTGCTGTTGCTAAATGAAGGTGTTTCGAAACAAACCTTGACGTTTTATGCTTTTATTGGATTACTCCTCTGGTTTTATTTATATGATAAAAAGAGAAGAAATTTCTTTGTCTATTTGTAAAGCACATCGACTTTTTATCACAGGGTTTCCCTTTTACTTCTAAATGTTGGTGAGTTATTAATGTGCTTATATTTAATAGGTTGAAAACTTATTAAATTTTCAGATAGGATTAGTAAGTTTTAAGATTTTTTTTAGTTACAAACTTCCAATAAAACATATTGTAAGCAATTTATAAATAGAATTAGAAGGAGTATGTGATTCCAAACACTCAGTAAATTTAATGGCGTTTAATCATTCTGACTTTCTCTGGTTGCCCTTTGCTATTTCTGGTTTTATTTTGAATCTTGCACAATCTCTATGCATGTATTACCGATTTGCAGTCTCGGGTAGGCTATTCAGATCCTCTGAAGTAAGAGATACTGAAGTTCATGAAATTTAATGCTTAGTATGAGTACTTTATACTTACTTTTCTTTATATATATATTTTTTAATTTTTATTGTAAGATATTTTTCATTATATTAAGAAAAGTTTTTTTATTGATATCATGAAAAAGTGAAAGGTGCTTTTATTTTATCATTCGCTTTAAATAATAATATAATTATATTAATTATTTTTATGTCAATCAAGAAAAAATAAAATTAAAAAAATAATTTAATTATTATAAAGTGTTCTGAAAATAGGATTGGGGAAATTACAAGACAAGGTTTATATAATGCAATATGCAAAGTACTAACTGCCAATAGTCTCAATAAAATTTGCAGAACTCATTGTATTGGATCCAAATTTCTTGGGCTGGCTTGGACAGGATACATTAACCGTCTAAACATCCAATTTAATCTTTTCTAGTCATGCAGACTAGTTAAGCATTTGGAAGAGAAAGATGTACAAAAGAATGAGATTGAATATAACGTTCATTTTCGTTGGTTCAAAAAAAAAAAAAAATACAACGTTCATTTTCATTCTTTGTGCACTTCCCTCTTTTCTATTTATTTTGTCTTTTAATTGAAATAAGGTATACTACTATTTTGTGAAAGAATAACATTTTAATATACTACTATTTGAAATTAAAATCATGCTTTAATCTCTTGATTGGTTATTGAAATGTTTTTTTAAAAAACATATTATTTATATAAGTTATGGCTCGTTACTCATTCAGTCTTTACCCAGATAACTTGGATCTTATCATTTCAATTTGAGGTTAAAACATCAACGCGAGATTCAAGAAACCAACCATGCACGCAATGGGACAAAGAATTTGAATGAATGATAGTGAATTGGGATAATGCAACTTTTACTTTCTCAAATTTGTGTCAGTTATTGATTTAGTATTTTAAATTTAATTTCTATCAATTTAATCTCTTAAATTTACTTTGATTATCAATTTGATTCTTATTGTTTAAAAAGAAAATAACAGTGTTAAAATTTATTAACATGGATAATAAAATATTGATGATAGCCATATACATTAATTATTTAAATAGAAAAGAATCAGATTTTAAAATTTTAAAAAACAAGAATAAAATACATTGAAAGTGATTATATTGATAAAAATTAATTGATTTGAAGGTCAATTGGTTCTCATTTAACTATATATACATGTCAAGTTATCAATATATTTTACAAATTAGATCAGTTTAAAAATTAATTTGTGTTTTAAAACTTAAAAAACTCATATAATAATGTAAGAAAATATAAAAGATCAAATTGATAAAAATTAAACTTGAAAAACCGAATCGACTATTAAATCAAATTTGAGAGATTGAAATTTTTACTATCCCCAATGAATTCAAACCTAGACTTTTTCCAAGAGGAGAGGTGATGCTGCCAATATAACAATTAGCCGTTTAACACTAGGATAAAAATATATAAAATATTATAGTTGTTAAAAAATTAAAAAAAAGTAAGAATATAAAGTAAAATAAAGTAACTATATTTATTTATTATTTTTAAGTATGTAATATAATAATTTATATTATTAATTTAATTTTTAATTATTTTTATTCCAAGAGAGAATCATATCCAAGAACATCTCAAAAAAATTATTCACAAATAAGAATTAATGTGAAATGGATTGTTGTTAAAATAGGAGCATGATTTTTTTTTCGAATGGGATTTATTATTAATCTTTGTTAGCGAATGATTTCCTTGAATGGTCCTTGGATGTGATTCTTTCTTATTCTAATATTTAGTTTTTCTAACTCAAATTCTTTCTAAAGAGAAGGTTGTGAAATCAAATCAAAACCATATATTATGAGTTTAACATAATATTATTTCAATTACATATTATTTATTATTATTTTGTTTGAACAAAATGTGGAAAAAAATTCAATTGATTGATTAGAAAATTTAACACCTAAATCGTTCAAAAAATTCTTGAAAACTCAATTCAAAAAGATCGATGAACAAACATGACCAAAGAAGTAATACTTTTCTTTAAAATTTACATTTAAATTAGCTTTGATAAAGAAGCTTTAATAATTCTGTAATTAATGAGTTGGATGCAAAACTTTGGTCCCCCGAAGTTTAGTTAATCTTGCTTCAAAGTTAGATGCACAAGTTGTTTCACCCATGAATGTACAAATGTCTAATTCTTACCCTGTCAAGAACTTTTGTTGGCATATATAAAGAGAAGCTTCTGTAAAATTTTTGTGATATGTCCAATTTTAAATATATATGCAGTAACATCTATGTTATTTGCAGTAATTTTTTAATATATAATTATTGATTACATAAGAGCAAAGGATTTTAAAAAAAATTGGCAGAAAGGATTTAAAAAATTAATTAATTCAATCTCTGACACTTCTCTAAAATCTCATGAAATAATAAAATAACTCTATAGTCCCTAAATCCTTTAATGTAAATAACTCTTGATACTTAATTATCATATTGGCCATGTATTGAAAAAGGAAAAAAAAAAAAAAAAAGCCAGATACTCTTTCACTCTAGAATCTGGATGAAGATATTAAAAAAAAAGTTAATCTTTTATTTATTATAAAAATTATAAATATTTTTTTGATACAAAAATTATTAAATATTTCAATAAATCTGTACCATGCTGGGCGCTACATTTAATCCAGTTTAAAAAATTCAAATTTAAAATTTTTAAATGATAAATTTATTTTTTAGTAGAGCAATAATTAAAAGATTATCTTTATTTTTAATTTTGTATTTATTTATTAAAGTAATTTTTTAAAAAATATAAAAAATACTATTAAATATGTAACATTATGGTCTCTGGAAATCGAAGAGAAACCCTGGATCTCGTCGAAACCCCAGCTATTTGAGGTTGTCCACCATTGCTTGAAAAAAAGTAGCAGCTGAGGATGAAGAGTCGGAGTGGGAAGAACGAGGGAACTAGCAAATCCTTCAACAAGTCTGAATCAATCAATAGACCCAAATCAAAGACGATGAAGAAGAGGAAGAATAATAATCTGCCGAGGGTGGGTGCGGGTGGCCTTTCACTCAACGCCTTTGCAAATGCAAATCCAAGGACAATCACTATAACCCAGCTCTCATAAGTATGCATCTTTCCGCTTTTTATTCATTCATCTTCTTTTTCCACTCTCGACTCCTTTATTGGCTGGGACCTTGGTCTTGGTCCTTTCCGTCTCCGTCAATTGTTTTTATTTTAGTATATGAACTACTTTGACTGAAAGTGATACAAGTGATTGAAGTCATAAAAGAGTTTGTGGAAATCCTTAGAAATTGATTCTGGGTTTAGTAGAAACTTTGTGCTTATATTCAATTTTAGAGTATTATTGCTTCGGCACTCGGTTTTGATATCTACTGCTAAAGCTTGGGACTTGAGGAATGAACTCCTAATGTCCAGGCTTGCTTGCTTGAAGTCTTTAACTAATCCATATTTGTTGGCCTTGCCGTACTCGGGATGGAAGTTGGATTCTGTTCTAGGTTTCTCGGGGATAACCTATCAGTTTATCATTTTATTTTATCAATCCTGACTAATAGCCTTACCTGCTTTTGCATTCATGCTTGACAATTTCCCTTGCATATCTTGGAGATAATACTTTGTTCTTGTTATTCTTTGTTCTAAGTATTCGGTGACGAAGGATCTTTGGGTTGATATTCTATTTTGGAGAATTATTGTTTCTCCATTCGGTTTTGAGTTCTGCTGCTAAAGCTTTGGAGTTGAGGAACGAACTCCTAATGTCAAGATTTACATGCTTGAACTAATCTGAGCCCTATGTTTTGGTCCAAGTATGTTGGCCCTGCAATATCTTGGGATAAAAGTTGGATTTGTTTATAGTTTTCTCAGGAGAGCCCCTGATGTAGTGCCAGTTTATATTTTTTTTTTTTTTTAGAGCAATCCTTACTAAATATCCTCACATGCCTTAGTGTTCAGGCTTGCCAGTTTCCCTTGCATATCTTTAAGATAATGCATGCGTTCTTGTTGTTCATGGTTTTGTTTACGGGGTGATGAAGAATGTTTGATTTGTAAATCCACGTTATGAGTTTTGAAAACTATATGAAAGGCAAGGGATTTCTCTGTATCCTTCAATTCATGATTGTATGTGCCTTTTGTTCTCCTGTTTTGACTTTGACAGAGGTAATAATTGTTCATCTGAACTTTGGCTTGAATTCTATTAGTCTCTACATTTCACTTATTCTACAAAGTAGTATGAGAATGACAGAATGTGGATGTCTTCAATGCCATACCCTAACTATGTCATATAATGCAGTTTCCTGATTGACATCTTCTCTCTTTTCTCAGAAAAGCAAAGGGAGTTCTATAAGAATGCTAAGAAGGTGAAAAAGTTTAAGAAGTTGTTAAACCAGCAAAATGAGCAGCATGACGTCACCTTAACCCAGAGGCTGATTGAGGTTTGATTTACTTTCCCTTCTATCTGTTGGCAGCGATAATTATTTATTTATCTAAGTATAGTTCAACACCTTGCCACTAAATTAGATATGATTGTCAAATAACCTGTGCCACCTCTTTTAGATTTCCTTAACCTTGTATGTCATTCTGGAAACAGTTAATGGTTGGTTCGAACTTCCAGTATTGCATCATAGAATTTTTAAACGAAGAACTTTTCCTTAGCATCAGTTTTGCTCTTTAGTTCTTTATCCGATGCTGATAACTAGTTGTGCTGGATTTGAAGAATAAAATCGTTAAGAGACTCTTAAATGTGGATTTTTAAGTTCTTTTCTTTTGGCTGTTACAGAATGAGATTGGAGTGGAAGGCAGGGACAAGAGCAATAACAGGAGCAGAAAAGATGCTTCCCTTAGTCTGGAAGAATTGTATGAGAAGAAACACGAAGAGAAAGAGAAAGAAAGGCTGGAAAGGGAGGCAGCTATCAGGGCAAAGAAGGAAGAAATAGAAAAGGCTGAATCTCGGAGAAAGGCTATGCGGGACAAAATGTTCAAGAAAACACGAAAAGGGCAGCCTGTTATGAAATATAGAATAGAACATCTTTTGGATACAATTCAAGGTTCAACTAAAAATTAAATCTGGAAAAAAAAAATCCCAATGTGTTGGTGGAAAAAAGAGAGAAAATTGGGGAGAAAGTCTTTAGTGTTTCTGAATTCTGCCACCAGTATTTTGCTCTTACATTTGTAGAATAGAACATCTTCAGGTGCTGGTAGAACATGAGAGAATGAGTTATAATATATAGATTTTGTAGTGTTCTGTGCCATCCTTTCCAACATTTGGCTTCCCCATAAAAACTAACTTAACACACTTCTTGCTTCTATCCTATTCCAAACCAGTTTAGATACCAATACTTGTTGCAAACCACCATGATAATATATTGATTATGCAGTTTGAACTGTTTCTAAATGCTGGTAAGGTTTTGCTACCTTATCATCTACTTAACAGAAAACAACACTCGATTTTTTTAAATTTTTAAAACAAAAATTCCTGTTATGTGGTGATAAGCTGTTGAAGATATTCAGATACCATGTTTTTTTTTTCCCCACCATAATACTTGAGCATATAGATTTGAAGTCCCGTGCAAACATGCAAAACAGCATGTTGAAATTTGAAATTAACTATAGCATTACTTGTTAAGATACAATACCAATGCTAAGTGAATTCATCATTCATCTGTACAATCTCTTGAGAAAGATCTATTAAATACTAATAAGAATTTAGTGACAACAGTGTAACACAACCAGTACTTTTTGACCATCTTTAACCAGCGCCACGCTACACTTGCAAGGCTTTTCATGCAGGTCGGCAAGATGAGAGTTTTAAGGGGGAAAATTATATCACAAGCAATTAAAAAAAGAGGGTTTAGGGTATTTGAAAGGAGGTTAATTCCAACATATTATTAGGAAATGTGACCAATCTTCTAAGTCTTCTCATTCTTGGTCTTTTTTCCTGTTTCACTTCTTAGGTCACCTTCTCTTGATCAATCTTCTTGAAAAAAAAAAAATATGAAAGGATCTACAAGAGCCAGTAGAATTGAGGGAAGGATCCTAAACCTGTTATCAATTGCTCATACCTACACTCACAAAAGGCGATTCAATCTGATAAGATTAATAATCAAATTGGGTGTTTTTCTCTCTATGCTATGCATCTCCTTGGTGGATTGGAGAGAGATCCTACTTGCAACATGTGAATCTCACAAAATTGAGTTCATACTTTTACATCTCTCTCTCCCCTCATTTCAACTAATTATTCAGAGATTCAAATTTTCACTTTCACTCACTCTAGAACTTGAAATGTCATAAATTTACTGCCTTATGGTAGTGGTAATAAATAGGTAAATAAAACATCTTCAATTGCCTAGTTGTGCAACATCTATTCAAATGAAAAAAAACCGGGCATTATTATTATTTTTTAAAAATTCAATCCTTTGTTAAAACTTTCGAGTTAATTTAACAAGAGGGCATATGGGCATTCCAAGTAGGCTAACATTCCTCACACAAAAGACCTGTTTCCCTTGTGCTTTGACAGCTCCAAGCCGTGTAAGAGTTTTGAGGCCTAAGATGAAAATATTTAACTGATGTATTATTCTTTCTATCCTTATTATATGACACTTTTTGAAAAGATTTGGTCTTTAATTTAAGGGACACGGATGATTATTCATTACAATTTTCCAATTTTGTTCCTATTGTAAATTTAACAAAAAAATTAATCATTTAGTTTTTATAATTTTGACCTAATTGTAACTTAGTCCTTGAATTTAGACTCGTTATAATTTAATCTTTGAAGTTTTGACTCGATTATAAATCAGTCCTTAATCTTTGTCTCTTGCAAGTCCTTAAAGTTTCAACTCTTAAATATTATTTCCTATATTTTTAAAAATTAAAATGATAAAGATTAAAAATATTTTAAACTTTTAATATTTATAAAAATTAAAAAGGTTTAGTAATTTAAGATATTAGTAATAAATTTTAAAAATTTTTAATTTTTATAATTTTATTTTTTTACATATAAGGACCAATATTTAAGAGGTTGAAACTTCAGGGACTAAATTACAAGAAGTAAAGTTTAAGGACTGATCTACAACCGAGTCAAAACTTCAAGAATGAATTACCATGAGTCAAAGTGTAGAGACTAAATTATAATTGGGTTAGAACTACAAGGACCACATGATTAATTTTTCTTAAATTTAATTTTATGACTCACCGTATATTATATATCTTTCGCTTCCTATTTTTAATAGGGATGAAGTTGGAATATTTTTCTATTTTAAGATATTAAATGAGTTAACTGTCATGACTTGGTTTCAGTAAAATAGTTGAAGCTTTATAATATGGACCAAGAAGAATATGATTTATCTATCTTCATATCAATTTTCTTAGTGACTAGATATATAGGATATAAGCAAGTAATAAATTCTAAATGAATAGATATAATTAACATTAATGTTTAACAGGAAAAATAATGACCAACTACATAGAGTATAAGTGAATATTTTTTTAGGCCTAAGGCGATGGTCTTAATTACCTAGTTTGTGACACGGCCATGGCTCCAACTAGTTTCTGTATGTTACATTTTTCAATGTACTTACTCTGCATTTACATATTTATTTGCCTTTGGTTCTTGAAATCATGTTCAGGACAAGGTCGTGTGAACAGTACATCCAACTCAGCCAACCCTCTTCCTGAAGCCATTCTTCCTTCTAAGTAATTTTAATATAGGTTTCATTTAAGAGTAATGATATTGAATTAATTATTTTATTTTGTTTAATGTCACATGGAGCAGTTACGACATGCTAGGTCCCTCTTCACACATGCTTGAAAAGCATAATTGACTAATACTTTCTTGATTATGTAGAGCGTAGACTTGTTGAAAAGAGGAGAAAATATTTAGTTTGATTAATTTCACTGTGCTCAAGTTTATTTCATTAAAACAGAGATATCATCATGTAATATTAGGTTTTTCGATTGTAAGTAAATAATCGTTGAGTAAAAATAGGAACTAAGCTGTTTAGTGGAGAAAAATGAGGAGATATTTGAGAATTTTACTAGGTCAAAATTTAGACCACAACGATAAAATACATGGATTAATTTTAATTAAAATTAACCAAAACAAATCCAGCCAATTGAATAGTAAGCATATTTTTACATTAAAACTAATGGAGATGAAACTTTGGATTTATTCACAACACTTTATGTCGATGATCATCCATCACAAACTCACTGTAATTACAATTACAAAATTTAGCTATATGTAATATTTCTTGAGCATGTTATTGCTCAAGTGAATTTATTCACAATGCTTCGTTCTCCCTTCAAAAATAGTTTCTGAAAAGCAATGCCACTGACAAAAAAATTTTATAGTACATATATATATATATATATAAATGAATTTTCTATTTCTTTTTCTTCAAATTCAGATCATGTCAAAAATTACAAGTTTCTGTATGCTGGTTACGGATGATTAAAGATTAAAAATCTAAATTATTGAAGCATGCCTGATGGGTGAGCAATTAATGCATCTATATGCTGAACAAGTGGCCAGAGACTATTCTCTAGTAGATAAATTCCTTGATTTTCTTGATAATTCTAAATAGGGTTTTATTATGTTTTAATCTTCCACCAATCCCTTCATATCAATCAACCTAGTAAAAGCTATGGAAATTCAGACCCTGAAACGCATATTATCATTATGGTTTTATTCAATTAGTAAAGGCAACAGAAGCAATGGACCTGCACACAAGCTCTGTATTTCAGACTGGAAAATATATGTTCAAGAATATCACAATCTAATCTAATCTAATCTAATCGAGAAGAAATATCAAGGCCTTTGTTGATGATCCCACAGGCCTAGGGCTCGAATCAGGCAAGCCGAAGCAGCGACGACTACGACGGCTAGGATAGGCGGAACGATGACATCGAGCTTCGACTTATGAAACAGGGGAGCCGGAAAACAGAGTATAGCACCTGGAACGTCCAACGGCACTCTGATGGACTCATCATTCTTGCACTTCTGAGAAAAGGAAGAAGAAGGCGATACGCCGACACGAAAGCCACCTCCGGCGAGAACGACGCCACAGCCACTGTCAACAATAGACACATTGTCCAAGCGGCGGCATACAGTAGCAGAGGCCACGAATATGAGGCTCGGATGCACACAGGGATGAAGCTAGAGAGTGACAGAGACATTGTGACAAATTCTATGTCACTGTGTTACGATTTGAGAGCTGATCGCCTGATCATGATAAAAGGAAGGCGGTGGTGGTGGTGGACTATCAATAAATATGATAATACTCCCAGTTTACATGTTCTGATTTCCATTCTCATTTTGTTCCTAAATACATGTTCGGTTACAAATTTATGGTATAATTAAATAGAGGTAGTTAAGATTTAAAATAATGTGAATGAAAAGCAAACCTGAAAAAAAAAAAAAATTCTATCATTGTATGCCGATTTTGTTTTCCCATTGATTATTTTGTTTTTTTTCCCCCTATGCTCATAAGTAAATTGGGATGAAAGGAGTGCTCCTTCTTGACCAAAATATAGGATCTTGGTAATTAATTTTAATTCAAGGTTCTGAAAAAATATTAGTTGGAGCATTAATTTCTTAAAAAAAATTACATCTTTTTAATTTTATCCTCATTAAATACTTTATACAAATGCTTTGATAATTATAATTAAAAATATAATACATCACTTTTTAAAAAAGAATAATAAATGAAGTAGGGATATAATTAAAAAAATAATAAAAGTTAGCTAATACTATTTTGAACTAAGTAAGACTTTTAAAAGATGTCCTGTGTTATAATTCAAAAGGAGTACTCATCAAATAACATTAGATAAGAATGTTAAAAAGAATTTTTAGATGCTAAAAATCCAAACCAAATACGCACTTATCTTAGATGACCAAGGATAATGGATTATGAAATTTTTTGAATATCTTAATTATCTTTCTTACATTGCTACAGCCTATAGGACTACTAAGTATCTTGAAAGATCTTAACTTTTATTGAAATGCCAACTTCCAACAGAATTAACATTCACTTTAATTCAATGGAAGTTCCATTGCTCATTCAATGTACCTCTACCGAAAACTATATACTATTCAAACAATCAAGAAAATTAAAGATCTTACAACGAAAATGGGACAACTAATTTTCACTCTAATTCAATAGAATTTTCATTGTTGCAACTCTATTGAAAACTATGTACTATTCAAACAATTAGAAAAATTAAAGATCTTACAATGAAAGTGGGACAACTAATGTTGGCAATGTTTTTAAATAAGCTAATAAGTACATCAATATACTTGCATATCAAACCTCCAAAGAAAATTTAGATATTATATTCCTCAACGATCCTTAGAAACGTCCTTGTATTATAAAAAATTGTCAAGGCAAAGGGGACAAACATATGCAGTAACTTGTGATGCAACGAGGATGGGTGCACAATAGAACAATTGTACTCTTGGGACAGGTTTGGTTTCATCATCAGGCTACTCGTTTTAACTCTTCTCATACACTTTATGCCATATTTGGTATGATGGAAATAATTTTAATAGAAATGAAAATGGATATGAAAATAGATATGAAGTTTAAAAATATGTTTGGTTTGTTTGTAGAATTGAGATATTATTTTTATTCAATATTAATCTTAAAAATAAGAAAAGACTAAAATACCCTCATCTCAAAAAAATATACCCCATCATAGATTAAAAATTTTGTCATCCAAAGAAAAAAAAGCTCCCACCCAGATTCGGGAAGAAACCATTGTGAAGCACCTTCATTGGACTTTCGCCAAAAAAGAAGAAGACCGAAAGATGTTATTGTGCTAAAGAAGCTCGGAGTCTGGCTCGAAAAAGATTGTTGCTGGAACCATGTTGCTAGCTTCATCATCCTTTCTCTTCATCAACCAGCCATTGCCGTGAAAAAGAAGACCTGTTGTCAACAAGAGAGATCGTGAAATTGCTAGATCCTTGGTTCATCCTTGTGGTTTGTAGAGAAGGCAGCTGTCATTCAATTTGGTGGATAAGAGGACAAAGACAGGTGGAATTAATGAGGGAGGAGGTTGTCAACATTGGTGAAGGGAACAGCATGAGCAATGGTGGCTGAAGAGCAAAGGTTGGAAATCGAACGTCAGAGGTCAATCTTTATTATGCTGAGTCACCGTCATTCAAGAGAAGGTGAGAATGGAAGAGAGAGAGGAAGGGTAAAAAATGAAAAAGGAAATTTAAAATTACAAAACTGAATTTTTTTATGAAACTCAATTCCATCAAAATATATAGAAATAATTTTTATATGAAAGCCAAATCCAACCTCATTTTAACCAATCAAACATAAAATTTCAGTTCCAATTTCATATCCATTTTCACCCTCAATTCCATCATACCAAACGGATCCTTATTTGTCATCCCACCTCATTGAATTTGGCAGTCATGCATCCATAATGCCCCAGAAATACCGTCCTCGTACATGAGAAAGAAATTTGAAATTTCAATTTCAAAACCTTAAAAACTAAACAGACCTTAGGCAAACGCATTTGGAATTCCGATTTCAACTTTTGCATATCCAATACACTCGACCTGATCATAAAATAAGAAAATTACAAAATTACAGGCCTGTTCCTCAACTGAAACCACGCTCTATGAGCATTATGTAGATAAATTTAAGTCTTCCGTAATAAAAAGAATCCTAGAACTCGACAGGTTTACAGACAAAACTTCATAAATAGTTCAATCATCAGGGAACAAACGCAAAATTAAGCAATGGCCACCCTCAGTCTCCTCCCTCGTCTCCCACAAAATCAACAGCCAAATTGATCAATGATCAGATCAACGCCTGGACGAGGACCATGTTGATGACGACCTCGAACCCCCACCAGCACCAAAAGCAGGTCTTCGATCGTCACTACGCCATCTGTCACCATCCTGCCTGCCAGAGTTTGTCCATCGATCTGTTTCTGGAGGAGGAGCAGTATGGCTTGTAACGTCGGTTCTCTCACGGCGGAACTTAGGAACATATTTCCCAGGGGTCGGCGCAGCAGCAGCTGCAGCAGCTGCAGGAGCAGTAGATCCAGCCTCCGATGGGCAGGCTGAGGGTTCAAGAGGCTTCACAGCCGCTTCACCACTTCTTCCAAATAACGCTTCTTTCTTTTGCCTCTCTGCCTTCTCTTCCAGTTCCCGCTCTCTTTGCCTCTGCTTTTCTGCTATCTCAGCCAATTTGGCCAAGCGCTCAGCCTCTTCCTTCTTCCGCCTCTCAGCCTCTGAAAATTCATCAATACCATTAAGCAATGCAAATATAGAAAGGATGAAACGGATCTGACTGTGGAACAGAGCATTCATAAATGAGTGTGTTTATGCAAATAAGTTTGTGGTGAGGTTACCTTCGCGCTTCCGAACCTCCTCCTCTTCACGCAATTTTTGCTGTATCTCTTCTTCTTGCCTCAGATAATACTTCAACTTCCTCATCTTTTCCCTCTCTTGTCTCCTGGACTGTAAAATCCTTGAGATTCGCTCCTCTCTTTCCCGCCTCAATCTATTAAATTCTGCCTGACGACGACTGACAACTCTCTCTTGATAAATATCCTGCACAAACATTACCACGATTCAGCAAAATGGTGAGTCAGTGAGAAAATGCAAGGTTGGTCCCAAGTAGGTGGAGAACAGACCGGAAGCACATTATAATGAACTAGAAAATTAAATGCCTCAAACAAAATTCTCTGGTAGCGTTCTCTAAATAGTTTCCATCCACTATTAAAGCCGATAACACAAGTCATCTATTACAATTCTTAAAAGACCATTAACAGTAAACAAGCCACAAAAGTTGATGTTTACTGACTTTATTGCCAACCATACGTGCCAGCCTTTCCTTCTCCTTGAGATCTCCTTCATGGCGCTGTTTGCTAACTTCTATCTCAAGCTGCATTAAAGCATAGGTAGGTCAAAGGGATAATTCATTATTTTATCATGCAAATAAAAGAATCAAAATATTACACTAACAGTAATTCCAATAAACCTGTTGCTCACGCTCATGAAGAAGCTTCTCTTCAACTAGACGCTTTTGATACGCAGCTTCAATCAAGGGAGCAGCCTCCTCTCTTTTGGCTCTTTCCAAATAGTCCATTGTCTTAGCTAATTTTTGTAGTTTCTTTTCCATTTCTTGTCTTTCCCGGAGTTGTTCAGTCAAAGTCATCTCCATCAGTGTTTGCTTGGTCAGTTTCTCCTGCAGATATAACTTCAATCAATAGCTACCAACCAAAATAATTGGAAATTTAGTCAGGAAGTAGACTTCAACTTACACCCTCTATGATTGGCTTCTTTCCCTTCTTTTTAATGCGCTTCTCAGCTTCCTGAAGCAATGCTTGAGCTTCTTCCATTTCTCTTTCTTCTATTTCTCTGAGGATTCTCTGATTCTTCCGCTGCTCATACTCATTGGCAAGTCTTCTTTGTTCTGCTTCTTCAGTTATTTTCTGCAGTCTTAATCTCTTTGATTCCTCCTCTCTTTCCTTCAATTACACAAGATTAAAGGGAAAATTGAATCGCTTAAAATGATCAGATTGAAATTGCAATCCATGCAGCACTAACTCACAAGCCCATACCATTTCAAGAAGCTGACGTTCTTGTTCTTCTTTTCGCTTCTCAATAATTGATTTCCGTGCAAGAAGCCTCTTGTGTTCCTTGGCCACAACCTCGTTCAAAGTGGGAAGCAAAGCTGCAATTTTTGATGGTTTTCTATCAGGAGGATAAATCATTTGTCTTGCCTTATTCAGATGCTCAGCAAAATTAGCCAAATGATCCCTTAAGCCATCAGACTCAAGACTCTGCAATATAAACCGAGCAATTACTATTCACTTTAAGTACAGTTGGACTAACCAGCAAGATTTCTAGACACCTCAGGATGGTGTTAATTAAAAGCCCCATTTTCAACATATCACAAGGAACGGTGTTTTCAGCAAAAGCAAAATTGATTGCCAGGTACATCTATTTAACATGCCAAAGATTGAATCTGAAACATTATCAGGCAAAAGGGTATTGTCTTCCTATCTTATCATGCAATAGTAGGGCAACTAAACTAATTGAATGGAAACATACCGTCTTGCAGAAAACCACAACATTCCTCATGTGGTCAACTTTCATGGATACAAATTGATGCTTCGCAGCATCCACAGAAATCTTTTCCACAACAGAAAAATCAAAAAACGGGATCATTCCGGATAAGGTCTCAATCTTCATTGTCTGGTAAACATTGGACACCTGAAAAACCAAAAGGACAACATTTAGCATACATAATTAAACATTCCCAGAAGAAACAATTAAACATCCAAAAATTGACCCCATATATTAAAATGCACCTGCTGTAGCAACCTCAAAGTAGCTAGTTTCTCCAGTGCTGGGACATACTGAGACAGTTGTACCTCCGGGACAGAAGCAGTGGAAAGCTTACCCCCTAGCTTTGATATTTTTGTTACGAGAGGCTGAACTTTTGATGGAAGATCTAGGGGAAAAAATTCATGTTCCAGGAGATGATAAATGTCCTTCACTTCCTGAGTTACACAAGACATTACACCCTTGGACACCTGTGGTGACAACCAGAAGACATGAGATTAACTGTACCACCGGTAATTTAAAAAATAGATATTTGTGAAACTTTGCTGGGGTCAATGTGGCACATATACTCCGAACCCTTTATTTTAACCTCACTATCAATTATTTCTAAGCTGCAGGCTAAATGAAAGGATGAATAAATGGAAGGGGGACGGAGGGAGAAAGATGGGGGAAAATTCCACAGAAAATTCTGATATCCAGAATATAAACGAAGTCTTACAACCTAAAGCTTTTTAGTCTTAAGTTTCGCAACCTAATTAAACATTTAAACCCCCCCAACCACAAACCATGCAAACAACAAAAATTAAAAAAAAAAGCACAAGCATGTTATGTAAGAAAAGAAAAGAAAATAAAACGCACACAAGCAATAATAACAGCCATAATGGACTCTACCAATATCACATCCTGAATTAAGTAAAAGGGCAAAGATAAAAGACAAATTATTCATAATGCACCGATGAATTTTCAGTTCAGTGCACAAAATGATGAAGAAATTGATGCACACTAAAAGTAAATTAAAACAGAATTGCCAAGCTAAACAAAGATTCAACCTTACCAGTTCAGCAAGAAGAGCTGACCTTGAAAGCTGAGGGAAGGGAAAAAGAAAAAGGTAACAAAAGCAAAAAGTTAGAACCAGGGAAAAATAATGTACCAACATGAGAGAAGAACAGTTAAAAAGGTATGTTACCACTTCTCTGCTCTCTGGTTTACTTTCAAGGCTAAAACCAATAAGATTAGCCATCCTCAAATTCCTCTCCTTTTCATGCTCCAATTCCAAATGAGAAGCACCCTGAGTGTGATCATGGGGAGGCACTGAAAGTGCAGCCAGAACAACAGATGAAGCTATCAATTGCAGATCCTTCTGGCTCAGATTCTTATTGAAGCTCTTCTGAAGCAAAAAGAGCCTGAACCATGCATATGCATGATAAAGATGGCTTGATGATATCCAAAATATTTCTGTAAGCTTAGCATAGTAAAGAACCATCAACGATGCCTTGGGTGTTTTCTTGACAATGCACATTAGTCCATGTATATCTTCAATAGATCTAAAAGCTTCCTGCAAAAAAAAAAAATTCAAGTGTGTGTTGCTATGCTACAATTCTTTAAAAGACACTAGAAAAAATAGGAAAGAATAACTAACCTGCCAGAGTTCAAGTTCAGTGGCCACTTTCAGTTGCTCAAATCTGGTATCTAGATATAGTTGCAAGCTTTCAGGTGCTGAAAGATCAGGTCGGTCCCGTTGGTCTCGATATTTATTAAGATTGGCTAGATGGTTTCTAATAATTTCACAAAGTCTGCGGAACTCTGTTGTTCGCTTATATTGCTTACAAAATTGAAAAGCGCGATGCGCTGTCATCTACGCAAAGGAAAACAGTTGACCAAGAGTTCAATAAATATTCAGATCAAATCAAGGAATACAAAATATCTGAGTGCAATAACAATTAGCAAAACCTATAATACCCAAACCCAACCAATTAATTACTCGCTCCTGTTAACATTTTAAACTCAGGAACAGTGTATTGTTAATCAATATGGACCACAGGTGCATGGCAATCACATTGTCCCTGAAGCCAGAAAAAATTATACATATCCATGAGGCTCTATTCTTTCTTAGATATTCTAATTAAGATTACTCTAAGATAAAATGATGGCTGGAGCCATCCATAGAACGAGCAATACCAGATATATATATATATATAAAGGGTTACATTTCTGAAAAAATAAATACAATAGGGAATTTCAAGTCTGGTGATAGTCCATATGTCAACGACAAACAAAAATTGAGAAAGAGATCAATAAATAATTGATTAGGGTGAAAAACTTTGGAAGATAAACGTGAAACTTTATAAATAACAGCTAGTACAGCAAAACAAAAGGGGGGAACAAAAGGCTTACAGCATACAGAGCTTCCAGTTTTGAATTGTTCCGTAATATTTCAAGCACTGTCCTGTATGTTTCCCAAAGAAATTTAAACCATGGAGTAACAACTTCCCGGTCAGATCTTTCTTTTCCTTTCTCCCCACTCACATAGCTAAGCATCAAGTCCTCGGGCCTTTTATCCGCCTCTAAATCATCAACATCAAGAGCCTCTTCTAACGCCTGTGCCTGGCTGCGAGCTTGTTCAGCTTTCTCAGTTGACAGATGCATGAAATGTTTGATCACCTCCTCCAGTGAACTAACATTAACTTGTTGACATATAATACGATACTGAATGAGCCCATCCTTTGCAAATCGCCCTTTCCGCATGTCTACGCACAGTTCTACATATTTAAACATTATCCTTTCAAGCGTCTTCTGCCATGCTCTATATCTTTTTGAAGTGATAAGGCCATGAAGAGTTTGCAAAGCATCTTGCTTCTGTCCAACATTGATCAATTCTGTACATTGAATTTTACAAAGAATAAAAACACTGCATTAATACATTTGAAAATAGAATCATACAAATAAAGGACTGAAAGTATTTAGCTAAGAAGTTAGGAAGTAAAAGTTAATCTCTCAAACTGACCTTCAGCTCTTTTTAGAGCGTTTTCAGGCTTCAGAAAAGAACTCATTTTGGGCTTTCAGCAGAAATCAACTATCCCCTGCTCAAAAATGAAAATATAAAATGAATACCAAGAGTAAACAAATTTCCTATTTACAGAACAAAAGAGAAAAACTACATCTACGTAAAATATGAGGGCAATCGGGTAAATCTAGGAACTTTCATAAAGTTACATTTTTTTCCGTCAAACAGACATTGGAAATATAAAATCATCCATTGAGTTCAGCCGAGTTAAGCAAAACCTTGCCGAGAATCAGTGAATTAAAGGCTCAGAGATGCGCAAATAACGACAAACCGAACGTATCACCGAAATAAGGTACAGAGAACAGAGAAGTGTCATCAAATTTACGATCGAAACTACGATAACTAATACAGGGGGAAACTAGATAAGCAGGAAAAAAAAAGGGTTACAATTTCGAAGATCACGAACAACACTAAAACCCTAGAAATCCACGGCTGCTATTGAGGTAGGGTGAAAACCAAACAGAGCCAACAGGGATTCATCATTATGAACGTTCGTCAGTTACAGAGACTCAAACGGGTGTGCTCACATAAAAAGAGTGAGATTGAGAACGGAAAGTGAGGGAAAAAACAGAGACAAAAGAAACCTGGGTCGTTTGTTCAAAGAGTAGATCCCACAGAGATGGCCGCCCACTCTCCAGCGTTGGTATTACCCTAGAGAGCACGAGAGCACAAAAGAGCGTTGCGATGTGCTGTGCCGAGCAACTTACCTATTCTATTATTATCACTTGTAAGTTGTAACAATCCGGACCGGATTTTGGGCCATGAACGGGTCGAATTTTCCACATCTATTTATCTTTGGGGCTCAACCTTCATCGGCCCAGGAGATGCCCCCCTTTTATTATTTACAAAATAGGTAAAACACATTCATCAATCTCAATCATTTCATCCAATTTTATTTTTAATATTTATAATTTTTTCTAATATTTTCAATTTTTAATAAACTTGGGTGATTTTATTTATATTTTTAATGTTTTTAATTTTTATAATAAAGATTGAAAACTTTAAAAATAATACAGAGATTAAAATTTAAATATAATAAAATTACAAAGATCAATGATTGTATTATATATATATATATATATATATATTTATAAAACTGTTGATCTCTCTATTTTTTTTAACATATTTTGATAGTAGTTTTTATACTGTCTTCATTACTCCAAATCCTTTAAATTTTATTAGTTTATTTACAACATCATTATTTATTGTCATTGATAGAATTAAATCTACTAATATGTACATAACTTTAATAATTATATTATTGAGTCGATAAAATTATGATAAGTTAGACATTATGAACCTATTTTTTTATTTTTTATTTTTTTATTTTTAAAAATAAAAAAATTAAAAATTATTTGGATAAGTATTTTTCATTTAATTGTTTCCAAAACTATTTTTATTTTTTATTTTTTTAACAAAAATAGAAACAACTTTAAGTTATTTTCATTTTATTTTTTTATTTTTAAAATACATTATATTTGATTATTAAAAATTATAGTTACCTTGATTAATTTTTATTATTAATTACCACCATTAACTATTTATAATTATCATTGTCAGTCTATTTTTTTATTCTTAAACTGTTTTTTAATTGACATAACTAAATGAATTTTTATTTTATTTTATTTTAAAAACAATTTTAAAATATATATTACAAAACAGTTTTTGAAAATAAAAAATAAGAACAGAAACCAAACAAGCCCTACATGAGCAAAATGGTCACTAACTTTACTACCTATTGCATGTTTGAGAATTCCAATTTAAAGTCCCCCCTGTTTTTTTGGCCCACTACTCATTTTTTATACAAGTAACAATATTTATGTATATATTAGCCATGATTAAATTCTCATAGTCATATTTAAAATTATAGGTACTAAAATTGTAGACATATAAAATTTCAGGAGTCAAAAACAATGAAAAAAATATAAAATCTGACACCATAATATGCTAAAAATATAAGGATTAATAGTTGTACTTTTTCTTGAAAAGAAAAAAAAAGATAATCCACGTAAAAATAAATTGATTTTTAAGAAATATGCACGAGAATTAAGTTATTATATTAAAATTGTGAGAACTTATATTTCTTATTTCTTAATAAATTACATTTTGTATGAAATTTAAGTTTTTAATATAAGTACATCTTTTCTCTCGAGTTACTATAACACTTGGCAAAATAGATAATCATCCACACAGTTTGAAGAACCAAAGGATTGTCTAACATGTATTCATTAATATTTTTTAACTTTACGTCAGCCAAGTATCATTGCTTGAGTGGAATCTTTTGGAAATAATACGAATCATCAATATCAATTTAACATTTAATACATTTAAAATATAAAATATAAATATATGTAAATTACAAATATTAACTAGTTGTGACTATTAGAAGTTTTTCTTCATATTTTTTATTCCGGGAAAATGATAGTAAAATCTTAAAAGAGGAAATGAATTGGAAAAATAATAATAAAATTCTTCAAATTATATAAATAACAATCTGATTTCTCAAAAACCATAACTTCACAAAGATTCCTAAAGATTTTTATATCAATAAATTTAAAGTAAAAAAATTATTTTACTCTTATTAAAAGCAACAAACCCTAATCACACCTTGAAGGATAACAACTTTTATTCTATAAATTATAAGAGTTAAATAAGAAATCACAACTTGTTAATTGTAATTTCACTATTACAGGAAGCACTTTTAACAACGATTATTTTAAACTTTTAATGTTAATTATTAAGGGGAAGTAAAAAGAGGAGAAGTGAAAAGTAGACTTTTAACGTCAGTTATTTAACCGATGTCAAAAATTACTTTCCATGTCGGTTATATAACTAATTGATGTGAAAAGTCTACGAAAATCAATTAAATTTTTTTAAAAAAATTAACTATTAACAATGATTATTTAAAAACCATTATTAAAAATAGTTTTAACCATAGTTGTTAACAACGGTTATTTGGAACAACCATGGTTAAAACTATTTTTAATAGTGGTTTTCAAATAACCACTGTTAAAAGGTAATTTTTTAAAAAAAAATCAATTGATTTTTTTTATAACATTCAAACTTAAACTTATAAATTTTTTTCTTAAAATAGGACATCAAAAAATTTTAATAATCACAACAGCAACAATTAAAAATATTTACTAGAAACATAATAATTCTAAAACTTTAACTATCAAAATTACACAACAAAATTGATTACAATAAATTTAATTCCTTATATAAAGGATAAATTTCACTCTATCAAAAGCTCAACCAAAAAGCAAAGAATTTCAATTTCTCCCCTTAATATAAATAACATATCAAAAAAATAACAAATAAAAAAATTATGAAGAACAAAAATAAAAATGTGAAGATAATAATTTAAATCCAACTACTATAATTTTCATAAATCAATAAAAAATACAAAAATAATAACAATGAGACTTACTTAGAATTTACTAAAGAAGAAAATATAACTCAAACAATCCACTTAAAGTAACACCCAACAATGGAGAAGGAGGAAGGAACAACCATTCACTGAAAAAAAAAACCATATGAAGAAGATTCACCTACAATGGGAGAAGAGGAAAGAAGGAAGAAAGCAAATGGAGATCTAAAATTAAAGAACTCACTTGAACCCATACACAAGAGATGATAACAATGGATTTGCTCTAAAGATGAAGATTGATAGCAACGGAGCTTGATGGACTTTGAACAGTGAAAGGAGATGGCCAACAAGCATTGATGGATAGTGAATGGAGCTTCTCAGAGACAAAAATAGGTAAAGGTCAAAGCTTTGAAGGCTAGACGAGTTTAGCAGGAGAGAACTTGAGAAGAGAGAGAAAGAAAGAAAAAAAGAAATAGCTATTTAAATGGTGGATGAAAATGTAGGGAAACCAATTTAAAGAGAAACAACATTGATTTTTTTTTTTCTTGAAAAGAGAGAGAAAGAGGGAAAAAAAGAAATAGCTATTTGAATGGCGGACGAAAATGTAGGGAAATAAATTTAAAGAGAAACAACATCGGTTTTTTTTTTTATAAAAAAAACCGACGTTGTTTCTCTTTTCAACATTGATTCTATAAAAATTAATGTTGAAAATTTTTAAATTTCTTCCCTTATTTTAATTTTTAAGCTCTTTAACGTTGATCATTTGAATAATTGACGTGAAATATACTTTTAATGTCGGTTATTTATATAATCGATATTAAAACTCTTTACCTTATGTACAAAACTATGATTGCCTTTTTTTACAACAGATTTTTACTTAACCAATGTTAAAAAGCAATGTAAAAAATGATTCTTTTAGTAGCGTTTCTATTATTGAAAAATAAATTTTTAAATTAATAAGCTTCAATCACAATTTTAATTTAAAGAGTAGCATCTTTTGTTTTATAAATAACGAGAGTTGAATAAGAAATTATAATTTATCAAGTGTAATTTCTATTATTAAATTCTCAAAATAATAAGTTTCAATCATATTTTTATTTAAGGAATAACAACTTTTATTCAAAGGATTGTAAAAATTGAATAAGAAATCGCAACTTATCAATAATGGTAAAATAATTTTTTTAATTTAAAATTTATTGACACAGAAATTCTTAAGTACTTTAGTGAAATTATGACATTTTAAAAGATTAAATTGTCATTTACATAATTCTCTAGATTTTATTGTCATTTTCTCAAATTAATATCAGTGAGGTTCCTAATAATTTTTTTAAAAAAAATGGTAAATAATAATTTAAGTAATTATAAATTTAAGAATTTCACTTTCAAATATGATATTTAGGGATTGTTTGTTTAAGATTAAAAATAAGTAATGTTAAGATAATTATAAAAAAAGTATTTATTTTGTAGTGATTTTATAAAAATCATATATTATTTTATGTTTGGTTACAATAATAAAAAGTAATTATTTTTTAACTATTTTCATATTTTATGATATATTTGTATATCTCTATTTTAAAAATATTTTTTTATCAAGTTATTTTAAAATTTTATAATATCTTCATGTATCTCTACATTTTTATAATATTCTCTCTCATGTAATGTACCAAATTATTTTTGGAAGCCTTTCAAAGTAATTTTTTAAAATAATAAAAAATATACTTTTTTTCAAATTCAAATTATTTTAAAAAATTTAAGCAAAAAAATAAAATTTCACAAAATAGATTTTTTGAGAAAAAAAAGTGATTTCTTCATTAAGAAAAAACTTTAAAAAATGGTCTCTTAAATTCTACATGTATCTTTCGGTTTACATTTAAAATTTCTATTTGCAATTTATTAGTTCTAACTGTTATTAGTTTCCTCTTAGGAGACTTTATTGTCATTCTCTGATTTATTTTAGATTAAAAGTTTTTAACTTTGAATTTTTGCCTATATTCTTCGTATAAAGGTGGAAACATCAAGCCAACGAAGAGCTTCTCTATTTGATCGGTTTTCTTTCTATTGAAGACTCACTCTCCCAATTTTCAGTTTCAATATCCTGAAAACTCATCTCAAGCTCCAAAGAAGTATTTCAACACCGATTCTTGACACACAATTTATTCTATTCAATTAATTCAGCAATTTATAACTTAAACTACTGCACATTACACTTTACATATAGCTAGACTAACATGATAATGGCAGAAATATTGGCACCAAAACAGAACGAGAAATTTGGATGAATAATTTGAGATGCAGTCAATTGCTCTACATTTCTTCCTTTGGTTAAAACAGCCCCTGAATCTTGACTCGTCATCAATGAACACAAATGAGAAGAACCTGTAGCAATAGAACAAAAAGTTCTTTCTCTTCCCACTGGACGGAAATAAGTGCTCTGTGCTTTTTCACAAAGTTGGGTTCCATAAAAGATACTATTATTCTTTTTAGAAGTAACATCATTTGAAAACTTTAACTGTATATATATGAAGTTAAATATATTTTCCTATTTTATTAACAAAAGCATGAGAAAGTGCTATCAATAAGAGGAATAATATAAAGCTTGCTGTTCTGATCTTTCTGAAACAACGAGGACAGATAATTTTGAATTAACTTCTAACAAGCACAACACATTGTGTATGTGAGCAACATTAGTTTCAAACCTTTTAATTCAGACTCAACTATATAGCTAAAGATCATGAAGCTCACTAGTGCTGAGAAATCTTAGCCACAAATTCTGCAATATTTTGATCAGAACTTCCTCCCTCATTGACAGAATTCCTGATCAAATTCTTCCATTTGATTGCATTTTCCTTCATTTCTTTTCCTTTTTCACTTTCCATTACTTCCTTGACACAATGTTTCAACACTTCTTGTCTGAGAATTCCTTTCTCATCCATTGAAACTCTGAGTCCCACTTTCCAAACATCCACAATAGTCTTCAAATTAGTGCTTTGATCACTCCAGTTTGGTACTCCAATCATTGGAACTCCTAAACTCAGAGCTTCTAAAGTGGAATTCCACCCACAATGAGTAACAAAGCATCCCACAGCCTCATGTGACAGTACTCTTACTTGGGGACACCAAGTCACAATCAAACCCTTCTCTGAACTAATTTCTGGAATGTTCTTTGGAAGCTTGGGCTCTTCAGATTCCCTAACCACCCACAAGAAATAAGTGTCTGTATCTATCAAACCACATGCTAATTCCTGCATCTGCTCCTCACTGAGAGATACTAAACTTCCAAAGGAGACATATATAACTGATGCTTTGGGCTTATCATGAAGCCATTCCATGCAAATATCATTTTTGGGTTTGAACGTGCTCATATCATAGTCATCATCGTCTCGGATCCTCTCGTCTAAGAAAATGGATGGCAAAGTCGGTCCTATTGTCCTCAATGGCCACATCTCTCTCATCCAATCCACAACCTGAGAGCTTTTAACTATCAGTTCACTAGAAAAGTACTAGTTTGGAAAATATGACCACATGGAATGGCTGCAAAACAAGCACCTAGAAATCGATCAACACATTGATGTATGAAAGTTTTATCACATGATGAATTATGCCATGAAGAACTAAAACTTGCAAAATTCACACCAATTGGCAAAGAAAGGAGCCACTGAAATTTTAATTCCAGAAGAAAACTGAAGTGAAATTAGATGGCATGAAATTCTCAGTTTGATGAATACTTTAGATTTATTTCTCGCGTAGCATGCTGTCAAAGAGTTATCATACCAATTTATGCAGTATTATTTCTCTTTCAGACCAAATTCAAACCAAAAGTCCAATATGGAAGCAAAAAAATACAATTTCACAACTTAATTAATTATTCTATTTTGAAGATTGCCGATAACCTTGTAGGTAACATACAAGCTCTTCGGTAAGTTGGAGGTCACAGGTTTGATCCGCCTCTAATCTCATCTCAGATTGCAAAAAATCTATTTCGAAGATCTGTATGCACACATACCTCGTGCTCAAGTTCATAAATCGTGTTGGAGAGGACCCAATCAGCTTTTCCAATGTTGGAGAAATGTTCGACAAGATAGTCCCAGAAGAAAGAGTACATCCCATAGTGAAGATATAAAAACGATGGCAAATCTGAAGGCTCAAGTTCTGGCAATCGAGGAAGCAAAATTTTACTCTCCTTGATCGGAAGCTTCAGAGTCCCTTGATGAAGGTGGAAGTAAATGCTATTGACAGTACAAGATTGGGTCATAAACGCAGCACCAATAAGGCCAAATTTCTTGGCCACATCAAGAACCCATGGAAGGAAAGTATCATAAATAACACAATCTACAGGAAGGAAAGTATCATAAATAACACAATCTACAGGAGCCATTTTTTGAGAGCTTGTCGAGAAGTTCAGATAGGGTTTGAGATCCTACCTTCTGAAAGCGTTCTATATAGGCTTCGGTACTCTCTGCTGCTTTTCTTCCTCCTTCGTCATAGCCATCTGAGATGGTTTCAAAAGCTACGGAAGACTTAGAAGATGATTCAGTGGAAATGGATTTCCAGAAAGAATGAGGGATAACAAAAGTAGCTTTCACTTTGTGGTATACTAAGCGCTTGGAGAACTGAAGCATTGGATTGACATGGCCTTGCAAAGGATGAGGCAATAGAAGGCAATGAGCTTTCCATTGCTTCGCCATTAATTTCTCTCGTGTTCAGCTGTTTTAGTTTTTCATTTGCTTTTACAGGGGCCAGAATCAAAGGACACTCTAATATTGCTTTTCTATGTTCTGTGGAAAGTGGAAACGCTTGAAAAGTTTGATTACATGAGATGAGTCCCACTTCGATGGCATCAATATACAGTATCCTGCTCAAGGCATTTTGTTCAAGATTCGAATAATCAAGCATTGAATAATTTTTATGTTTTTTAACCATATTCTTTGTTCGGTGGTAAAAAAATCATATCATTTATTTATTTATTATTTTTAAAATAATAGTTTGTTAAAATTTTAATTATTATTATCAAGATTCAAATCCTCGCCATGTCAAATAGGATTACTTTGACACTTGTGACTAATAAAAATATTTATATAGAAAATTTAATGAGAATGTCATTACAAATGTACAATATTTTAAAAGATTTAGGTTTAAACTAATTTTTTACTCTTTTTTTTTGCCAGAATTTTACACAATTTACTATTCCCTTTGTCTCAATTTGTAAAACAATTTTTAGGTGAATTTATATTTCAAAATATAAGATACTTTAATAAAAATAAAATTTTATTAATCATGTTTATCTGAATATTTTCCTTCACTCCTTATTATATTTTTTCTCTCCGTGTAAAGTTATATTAAATTAAGGATATTTCTTAAAATTGTTATTTGTGTTTTAAAAAAATTGTAAATTATATTAAATAAACTATATTAATATACGTAACTTTACTAAAAAAAATGTCTTATAAACTTATATGAGAAAGTATTATATTATAGTATGTATAATAATTTTAACGATTCTTTCAACTTCTAATATTCCAGTTATTAAGAACTTTTAGTCCTTTATTAAAAAAAATTAAAATATTTTTAAATTGAATTCAAATTAATATATTGGTCTCAAAGTGTCCTAGTATACATTTTCTACTTTATATGGAATATTTGGTGGAATATCTCAAGGCTTACACTTTTAGCCTAATAGGCTTTGCTACTCAATTTGTACACGGCAATGACTTTTTACATGAGTTTAAAATTGTTGTTTTCCGACCACTCACTTGTAATGGTTCATTGGTTGATTTGGTTTTTGATATATGGGATCAAACAAAAGAGAAAATTAATTTATTATTATCATGCGAATTTCTCGTCATCATATTATGTGGCATTTGGATCTTGTTACATGTAAGAGCCCACGAGTTCAATCAAGGGGCAACCAAGGAGGGTATATAATGATGGAATTCTTGTGGAATTTATATGCATGATTGGTTACGTTGATTTTATTCTTAAAGCTATCTGACATTCTGTAATACTTTTGCGAAGAAGTGGCCACTAACCTGCTTGGATCTAGAATTTTCTGCATTTACTAGGTTGATTTCTTTTATAATCATGATAGTTTTTATGAAATTGAGTTTGATCTCTTTCTATCATGATCAATGTTTTATAAAATTTTTTAAAATTTTTTATATCAAGATAATTATTTTTTTTATTTTAAATAATTTTTAGTATTATGATATTTGTTTAAGTTCTTAAGTTGTGAGGTTAGGTAATTACAAGAGATGAAAGTGATAAAAGCGCTCGTCACTCAAGGCACAAAGAAATCAAGAGGTTTGAATTGGTTGAAATTTTAATTAATAAATAGTGACAGGGTGTGTAGAAGAATTTTGAAATTATAAAAACATTATAATAAGACATGGACATAGATTTAAATCAAATTCAAATTCATAAATTTTTATATAAGTATCAGGGAAATTTATATACAGTGATTTCAAAATTAAATTAAACCGAATAGTCTGACCAATTGGACCACCAGCTAGTCCTTGTTCTGGCTCAATTTGAATCACAAAACCATTGATTGTTAAAAAATCATGAATTAGAATGGTTATGTGAAAATTGGACGGCTCATTTGTTTTTTACTTTATTTCAATTTTAACTTTAAAAAAAAAACTTCCCTTACTTTTCAGTAGAGGTGGGAATAGGTCAGGTCCTTAAATAGTTTCAAGCTAGGTTAATGCCTTATTTAATTAAGTCTATTTAATTAAATAGGCCAAGCTTATTTTTTTAAAAGCTTAGCCTACGAGCCCAATAGATTAGCTTATTTATATACACATATTATATAATATATCACAAACACATTAGTTTTACCATTTAATTTTTAATCAACTTATTCTTTTTTTAATTTCTAGTCATATTTTTAATTATATTAACACTACTATAAAATATGCTTTTAGAAGTGCCTATGGATAAAAGCACTCCAATTACTACATGCAAAAGATACAAGAGTGCTTCTATAAAAAAGCAATCCGATATGTGAATTGTATAGGAGCACCTAAAAGGAGTGTTCATGTATCTTAACATACAGGAGTGCTCTTCGAAAGAGCGCTCCTGTAGGATGAGACTTATAGGAGTGCTTTTATTAATAGTGCTTCTATAAGTTTGTGGTTTTTTTTTTTAATTTTTTAAAAGCTAAAAGCCTATAGAAGTGCTTCCTGTTAAAAAAAAAGCCTATAGAAGTGCTTAGATTAAAAGTACTCTCATATATATAATATATAAGAGTGCTAGATATGAAAGCACTTTTGAAGTGCTCTTGTTAACCAAAATTCATTGCTCCCATAAGCCATTTTTGTAATAGTGTAGACTTATATATTAATGTTAATGTTGTTACTGTATTGTAGTTGGTAAATCATTTCAATTATTATATATTATAATTAATAAATCACATTTTATATTGTACACTATAATAATCCTATTTGAGATGTTTAAAGCCAAAACATAAGTTTATTTAAAAATACTTACTTTAAGAAGGCTTTCAAATAGGCTTTTAGGCTAAGTTATACTTTAAGTAGGCTCAAGCTTAAGCTCTGAAAAAAGCCTTGTACAAGCTTTAAGCTAGGCTTAGGCATCTGATTTAACACATAGGCTCAGATTTATTTGGCTAAAGCCTAACTCAGACTAATTTATTTCCACCCTTTCTTTTCAAACTCCTTAAGAAGGTGAAATGAATTTGGTTTGTGCACTTTGTTCCAATTTTAACCCTATATTAGAACAATACCTTCATTTTCATTATTTTAGACACCTTTTTTTATAAATTATTTTCACTCTGTTTGTATGTTTTAGTCTAAATAAATATTCAAGTAAAAAAATCTAAATCACTATAGAGATATTTATTGTAAGCATTAGTATTGAATCATTTGATGTTATGTTATGTCATGAGGCTTATTAACTCATAATTAACTTGAAATATTTAGCTTTATTTTCAAGTTATGTTGCAATTTTATATTTATATTATATATATAATATTTTTTAATTTAATTGTTACATTATTGATTCAACCGTGAGTGCAACCGATTGGGCCATGCGAATTTAGTTCAATTATGAAAATATTGCTTATTATATATTATAGAGTTTATGCATTTTTTTTATTTGTTCTTACTTAACTAATGAACAAATGAATGAATTAAAAAGCTATGCAAGAAGCCCAAAAACCCAAAATGCCCAACCTTGCCTAATGGTTTTTGTCAATGACCGTGCCTAAAATAAGCTGCTTGAAAAAAAAAAAAGGGCATGGTCAGACTAAACTCAAACCTTAGGTTGGATAGAGTTTAGGATTGGAGTATCAAATTAGTCAACCTTCCCCAACTTAAGGATATATATTATTTTTCTAAAAAGCATGATATTATGTTTAGGTTTAACAAACAATGTCTAAAAGAAAAAAGAGCAAAATTGGACATTCAACTTGACTTGCTTGATCTATGCCCAACCCTTATATTAATGGGCATCTTTTAGGTAGGGTTAGGCTTTGGGCAAGATTCTTTTTTACCCAAAGAGAATTAGGATAAGGCAATGGGTTAAGAGCCTGCCTTACTCAACCCTCCCATGCATAAGCCTATATAAGAGTATTTTTGGATTTTAAACTCATTTTTTGTATAATAATTTTTTTCAACTTTTAAAAATGATGTAATTTAATTCTTATTATTAATAAAAGTTAACTCTAACCATTAATTAGCCAAAAAATGAAAAGAACCTCAAAATTTAAAAAAAAAAGACTAATAAAATTTTATTGGTTCTTTTCTATGATTTTGTGTCCTTGTTTGTAATTTTGAATTCAACTATAATTTTTTTAGTCATTTTTTATAATTTTTAAGGTTTTTTCTGTCATTTTCTAATTAAATAATGATTAAAGTTAATTTTTATTAACTGTTTACATTAGACTGCATCATTTTCTAAAGTTGAAGGAAAATATTATATTAAAAATAATTTTAGAGTTCTAGACATTCCTGAATTTATAATTTAATGGTGAATTTATCCCTTTTATCCTGTTAAACTATGCTCTCACTTGAAGGCAACTTTTATTTAACGCGAACAAACCTTAATTAGAACAAAGAATTATTTTATTTTATTAAAATAAACAACATTTCCTTGTTTCTTCCATATAGAGGATGCGTGGCGACGACAATAGCCACGACGTTTCAACAAGTACAAGGCAAGAGGTCTTGCCATCTTGGATATGATCCGAGTCCAAGAAGTTAAAATTAAACAAGATACCAAAATTATATATAGAATTGTATACCAAAAAAATTATATATAGAATTTGAAGTTGATTTTGATTTGATAAGCATATATTGATTACATAAATTTGATGTTTATCCATTATACTATATAAATTATACAAGGACAGAAAGAGGCAATATTTATCTTAGGGAAGGGACAGATAAGGACAAATTAATTTAGCATAGGGGTGCAATTCATGAAATACCATAGACAGCTAAACACTTAGCATATGTTCTCCCTTGTCAAAATTCCAAGACATTTTTCCCCCATATAACCTTGATCCAAAATATAGAATACTTAATTTTTTTAAAAATTTATCCTTGTATTAATTGACAATAAGAATGTGAAATATAATTTAATTAAACATTTGTTTCCACTTTTCATAATAAAAGGATTAAAGACAAAAAGAAAAAAACATATTATTTTTTTAAGGTACTGAAAATAAGACCAGTCATTAAATTGGTCGAGGCAACAATTTAAATGTCAGTAGTCAAACTAAAATCCAATTGAACATGATTAAAATAACATAATTTAATCAGAAGTACTCCCTCCGTTCAAAAAT